TGTAAGGGTGCATAATATGCAATATTTTCTTGAGCACTTCATGGCATGTACTTAGTGGCACACCAGATTGTAAAGATAATCTCTTCGATGACGTGTGGGGATTTTGCTCAACACGCGCCCTTAGATTTTCGACAACTTCCTCCGATATTTGGGGCCTTCCTGTTGACTTCTTCTTATTAACGTTTCCAGTTTGGATGAATCTGTTGATCACTGTATTGATGTGGACTTTCAAAGGAGATTCTTGTATTTGTACATTAGGATATTTGGCCAAGTACTCATCCTTGCAGGCTACTACCGAGTAACTCCATCCACCATTGATGAATGTGCCATTTCGACATTAAGACATAACAATGAATGTATTCTGCTCCGAGGAATGAGCCATCCCTCGTTACAACACGACAATCACGAAGTAGAAAACAGAATCGTTCGAAAATTTTAACGAATAACTGACTGTCAGAAATTAAATTCGAATGTGTGAATCTCCATAAATGAAAGGCGGCAAATGGAGAAAATATTTCAACGGCTACTACGATGTTTCGATCATTTATAGTAACCCTGTATGAATGACCTCGTTTATTCGGAAGGGGGTTGATATTTTCATTCTGACCAGTTGGCGCCAGCACCACTTCAGCGTGGATCTGCCTTTTTTACTCAGATAGTTGAAGAAAGAGATCTAGAAACTGTAGAAAAAAGTGCTCCTACCGGAGATAGATCCCCCGACCTCTAACTCAACTCATACTGTTTCAAAGTTGTCCATTTCTAAAATTGTTCTGAAATTTCGTTTCTATATTCACAATACATCACATTTTCATGCAAGGAGGAAAAATTGTACAACACAAATCATACGTGAGCTGTCACTGTCATGTGTGAATTAGACTGAGAATTCGAATAACCATGCATGACTCTGGGTAAAAACGACATTTTTTGACCGATCAAACCAATGCGATATTCATGAAGTTTGAATATTCTGAAACATATTATTGGATAATGCATTTTTCATATCTACTCGCAATATCTATCAGTATCCTTCCTAACTTCATGCAAGTTTTCTATCAAAATGAATGTCACCTAAATTCTTACACGGTTTTGTAGTTATCCACAATTCCACCTGGAATTTTGATACAGCGTTCATTTTCTGACAGCCAATACGAATTTCCATTCAACTTGATTGACAACTGAACTATTATAATTATACTTGATATATCAAAATTTTAGTAATATGTTGGACAATGCTGAATATTCACGGTAAATGGCATATTGCTCCTTCAATGGAAATGAAAATCTGGATTTATGAAAGATGTTGATTTTTCAGTGTTTTTAGTGGAAAAAATAGTACCTATATACAGTGTGTGTCACTTCTAATGGAAACACCCCTGTATCTTTCCTAATTGTTGGTTTAGGATTCTGAAATTCGCAGGAGCAGAGGATATACTGAAAATAAACACTTCAACCAAGTGGAGTCATCTTCAGTGATATACACTGCTCGCCAAGAGCCATGAAACCACCCACATTTCCGTAGAATGATATTAGGAGGCAAGATAGGTTGAAAATCACTTCGGATTCGAAATCAGGACGTCCAATTCATGAATATTTGTATTCTTCCTGTGAAAAATTTCAGTTCTGAAAAATTGAATTTTGTTCCACATTTCATGATAGCACCCGTATCTTACGTAAATATTGAGGTAGGGTTCTGAAATTTGCAAGAAAAAGGAAGGGTCCAAAATTTAATTTTCCAGAACTGAAAATTTTTCAGGAAGAATATAAAAAACTATCAAATTGGACGTCCTGATTTCGAATCCGAAGTGATTTTCAACGTATCTTGCCTCCTAATATCATTTTCCAAAAATTTGGGTGGTTTCATGGCTGTTGGCGAGCAGTGTATATCACTGAAGATGGCTCCACTTTGTTAAAGTGTGTGTTTTCAGTATATCTCCCGCTCCTGCAAATTTCAGAATCCTAACTCAAAAAGTACGAAGGATACAGGGGTGTTTCCATTAGAAGTGAGTCACACTGTATACATCGGGTGAGAATGTTATTATGAAGCTCGCACATTATATCCTTCGGCGTTTTGCGCCTGTTGGTATAAAAGTGCTCTTGCTATATAATAGCTCAGTTCTCACCCTAGGTGTATAATATACTATTAGGAATCGATATAATATTAGATTCGTGAAATCAATTAGATTATGGGATTTGACCTCGTCAAGCTTGATGTATATTGTCATCAAGCTTGATGTATATTGTCATCAAGCTTGGTCGAAAAATGTCCCATTTTATAATTGAAAGATAGCGTTCTCCCTTTATAAAAATATCAACAATTTCGTGAAAACTATATGGGATGATTTTGGTATCTTCTTCCATGAATTTCTATCGGAAAAGAAATCGACCTAAATCCTAATAGAGCAATCAATCCGAATCTACACACACACACACACACACACATTCCCCTGCGATTCCATCTCCATTACAAATATAACCCGACCAACTTTTCTCTGTGTTTTCCTTTGCCATTATACAGCGATGAAAACGATGAGGAAATCGAGTTTGTAACCGACGTGTGCAGCGATCACGACCACGAAAACCGCTTCGAACAATGGGAGGATAAAAGTTTAGACGTGTTAGAGAACGGCTTCACCATCGGCAATGCGTTCTGGTTTGCTATCGGTTCTCTCATGCAGCAAGGATCGGATCTCAATCCGAAGGTATCGGATTTGTGTGACGAATGGCAACCTCAGGGGTATCATTACAAACGTCTCTCGCCAGTCATTCAATTAGTAGCATGCTGCCGTGCTGCGGGAAATCTTGAGATTATCATATCAGAAGGTTATATTATAAGGTATTATGAGAAAGAAAAATATCGTTTCTGCATAATAAGGGTCTACCTGACTCGGCCTGAATGAACCCTTTTCCTAAAAAGTTTATTTTTCGAAAAATTACTAAGGTGTAAACAGAAGGTTATAAGTATGAGGAGAGTAAATTTCGTTCTTAAATGATTCTTTTTCTAAAAACTACATTTTTCATAGGATTACTTGTGAAAAAATAGACAAAAAATAATTTACGCCTCGCAGGGATTCGAACGCGAGCCACCGCCGTGGAAATCAGAAACACAGACCACTCTGAGCTATCGAGCTACTCGAAGTTTCTAACTATAAAGAAACAAGAAATATCGTGTGTTAGCTTGTTTATCACAACAAGCAGCACAGCAGCATGCTACTCATTGTATTACTTGCGAGAGATATTCATGTATCAGTAGGCAGTAAGCTAGTCGCCTTCATGCTATATAGGATACCCAGACAGTCCAAATACCTTTCGAGGTCCATCTCAGGCCTTAACAATAATGTTCTTAGGACGTCGAGGAAGAGCCTGAGGATGTCCCTAAGCCGTCCTCCTGTTATCAATATCTACATCCTAATAACGTCTCAGAGGATATCACTATAAGTTCTTATGGGACATGCATATGGAAACGACTTTAGGAAGTATTCAGAAATGTCCCCTGGACATCTTTCGATTACTTCTTAGTGATATTGAAGATGAATGGGAGATAGATTGATACAATTGATAATTTTTGAAAAAATATATGAATCATGATATTTGCAAAATTTTGCTTTATTGATGATATGTTCAGATGGAAAAATATTATTCTATTTTTCATAACTTGTTCTGGAGAATTTTGGGATTCGTTTTGAAAAAATGTTTTTCAGCTTCTCGTTGAACACTACTAGAAGTTAATGCCTATTGATAGTTATATTTCCCGTTTTGTTTTCGATTTCTGAACCATAGGCATACTTCCTGATGGTAGTTGAAGCCTTCATAACAATATTTCATAGATTCTGAAGGAGCCAAAATATCTTGAACTGTGTGTTTTCCATAACCTCCGAGAACAAACAATGTTTCAATTTCTCATGTCCAAATATCAAGATTGAATTTGAATACAGAAGAAATTTTTCAAAGTTCCCGAGATGCGTTAGCAGCCTTATTCATGCTCTTATTGCTACTTATTGATTCTATTAGTGAAATCAAGTAACAATTCATGTAAGAGGGGAAAGTGGTGTTTTGTACCATTAAGAAACATTGGCTTCGACGAATGATATACACATACAGAAAAAGTTCGAGTACCTAGGTTGATAGGTATAAAATAACTATCAATCCATTCTGACTAGTTTAGAATCAGTTCGGAAGAGAGTTGGTACAGGAAAAGCTGAAACTCTAAGAATATACATTCTACAGAGTAGATTAATCATAAACTTCAGGCCACAAAACAAGGTTTTTTCACAAAATGGTTTGTATAGGTATATATATAAGTGCATGTTGTTTGTTTCGCTAGAACCTCCATCACAGTATTTGAACTAAATTTGATATCTTGAGGTGAATGTTTATAATAGTGAGCACTAAGTGAATAAAGATCAAAACCATTTTAATTTCTGAGTCACAAAAACCACTCATCCTGCTCAAAGTGGTCCACATGTTTTCAAAGAAAAACTGAATACGCATCAACACTACGCACTCTTGAATGCTAGAGTGACAAGCAATTATAAATGAAGAGATGAATTTTCCGATCTCTAGGCAGTGAGTCATAACTATTGGGACATAGTTATGACTATCCCTGTATAATAATGAAAATCCTCATAATGTAACGAGTAAAGAACAACACAATACGAGACGCATAGAAATTTATAGATGACCCTTCCGGTATTACATGGATGTTTATGAGATTGCGAGGTTTATTTCTTCAATTTCATGAGTTACCTATCTTATTAGTGATCATATTGAAAACAAGAAGAGTTGGCGAATATATGTAGTTTTCACACTCCACCATTTGTGCACTCTTATAGACAGACTTTTACCCTATCACTGTTATTTAGATGTTATGAAGCCTCATTGTTATTCAGATGTAGTTATTCGTCTTGTTGGCTTGGAAAAAACTTGTAGAGTTACTTCGAATGAGACAAAGTTCGAGAAGAGTATACGACGTGAATTATTCACCCCTTTTGTTTTAAATATAGGCCACCTCGACACGTATCGTGGGCGGGATCTGGTGGTTTTTCACCCTCATCATAATTTCGTCGTACACAGCGAATTTGGCGGCTTTCCTGACGGTGGAACGGATGATCACCCCCATCGAAAGTGCTCAAGACCTAGCCGAGCAAACAGAAATCGCCTACGGAACCTTGGAGGGTGGCAGCACTATGACATTCTTCAGGGTGAGTTTCATCAAAGATTTTAAAGGTGAAACATGATAGTATATTACACACCGAGGTGGAAAGTGATTCATTCCAGGCGTGAGATTAGTTAGTTAACTGAGGCGCAATGCGTCGAGGTTAGCCATAATCTAGAATGAAACAGGAATGAAACTTCCTACCGAGGTTTGTATACTATTTCATTTACAACCATCATATTTCGATCAAAAGTGATGAATATCTAAACGTGTGGAGAAGTCCATATGTGACTCTAGTCCATATTGCTCAAAGTGGAGAGGTACTGTTTGAAGAAAGAATAAATCAATGCAAATAAGGACATGTTTCGGGCTTATAATAAGCCCATCATCAGCCAAGATTCATAACGCCCTACAATAGTCTGAAGTTGTGACTGGAATATGGTAATAGATATTATTACTAATGTTCTTCGAAGTTGTTGAATCTTATTAAATCAAATGGTGAACATAGTAAACTATTATACTACATAAAAAGGTATTTTTATTTTAAGAGGGGCCTGTATCCTCAAAGATACCCTCAGGAGGTTTTCATGCAGAGAAGAATCAAAAGTTTGGCAAAATGTAGAAAAACCCTCATGAGTGGGACTTGAGTGCACTAAAGATTAGCTGTCACTGAAAAATCGAAAAATCATGAGATCAAACAAGAAAGATGACAGGTTGATTGCTTCATTTCACCTGTCATCTGTCATCTGTCTTGTTGACATTTAGTCATCTGGAAGTTTGACGTTTTATATCATGATTTTTCGATTTTTCAGTGACAGCTAACCTATAGTGCACTCAAGTCTCACTCATGGGGGATTTTCTGAATGTTGTCGAAATTTTGATTCTACTCATCTCCATGAAAACCTTTTGATGGTATCTTAGAGGGTACAGGCCCCTCTCGAAATAAAAATACCTGTTTTAATATTATAATAATTTACTATGTTTACCATTTATCTAGCTGGTCGTAGTCAGGTGGTCAGTGTGAATGAAACGTATTCGAATTCAAGATGCGTTCCGATTAGAGTTCCTCAAGGCTCTGTCCTAGGACCACTCTCATTTCCAGTTTTCATTAACGATCTACCCAACTTCTGTACGAAAGCTTCAATAACTGTGATATTTGCTGATGATACTAATATTTTGGTATCTGCGGGAACTATCTCGGAAGTTGTTGATAGAGCCCGAGAAGTCACAGCTCAAACTTCTGAGTGGTGTTCTCTAAACGGATTGTTGCTGAATACTGCCAAATCTCAAATGCTCAACTTTGCTACAAAAAATACAACTATAGATAAAAGCTATTTGGTCAAAATAAACAATGGAACAATCCATCAAGTTAATTATACAAGATTTTTGGGGATCCCTATTGATAATAAGCTAACCAGGAATAGTCATATTGATAGTGTTAAACTAAAGCTTAGTAAACATATACAGGGTGTTTCATAATTGAATGCTGATCCTTAAGGGCGATAATCCTTGGATGATTTCAAAGAGAAAAGTTCATATCAACATATGTCCTTAACCAATTAGTTATTGAGCTACAGGGTGATGAAATTTCAAGAAAAAAATTAGTTTTTCATCATAATTTTTTATCACTCTTAGATATTGTTATGATATTTTGTATACACCCTGTCATTATTAACGAGCATTTTTTTACGTGGAAGCTATTTAAAAATTCTCACCAGTGGCGTCCGTACGGGGTTTGAACTGACAATTTTTGAAGAAAAAAATAGTACGCCACTGATTTTTTTGAGAACCAGATTCTTTTCTGAATTCTTATTCATTTTGGAGCAAATTTGGTTCCTAGACTTACTTTCATACAACGTACCGTTTTCGCGTAAAAAAATAAAAACCAAAGAATTTTGTTCCTTCATTTCTTGGATATTGTTTTTGGTAATTCAGTAGACACCCACTATAAGTGGAAACACATTTCGTTTTGGGACGAAAATCAAACTTTTACTTTTACCAGTGATGTCCTCGACTCCTCGTAGACCCTGTAGCTCAAAAACTGAGAGGTTCAGGACAAATGTTGATTTGAACTTCTCTCCTTAAAATCATCCAAGGATCATCGCCCTTTAGGATCAGCATTCAATTATGAAACACCCAGTATATCTACTTCGTCAATTGAGACGAACAGTTTCTTTCGATGTTCTCAAACTTCTATATCACAATCTGATTCAATCTGTCATAGCTTATGGGCTAGAACAATGGGGTTTATCTGCCAAATCTCCCGAAGTTTTTATTATATAGAAAAAAGCAATAAGAATTATGGCAGGTGCATCATCCAGAGATTATTGCAGACCATTATTCATACATTATGATATTTCAATAATGCCCAGTTTGTATATCTATCAAACTTTGATATATATCAGGAATCATTCCTCAAGTATACCCAAAAATGAACGAATTCATGATCATTTCACTAGGAATTGTAATCAATTGCACCCACCTCGTAGTAGATTGTCAGTATCACAGTTCAAAGGGCAACTCAAATCATTTTTATTGCGAAAAGCATATTACTCAGTCGATGAATTTCTCCTGGAATCATGATGTGGATAAATATTATTCTAATGATCAGAATATTTCAATGATACTTTAATGTTTAATGTTGTTTGTGAATATATTTATCTAGTATACCATTGATGTTTTATACCCATTCTCAATTTTTTTTTCAAGTTGATGGTTAGTGTTAATATTAAGTATAGTTTTAACTTTTTTAATAAATATATTAACTTTTCATTGTATGACCTGTTGAATTAGCTAGTATTCTACAATGATGTTATGATTCTTTCCTAATTTTCATTGTAGATGGAAACTTATTTAATAAAAGTTTGATTGATTGATTTATTTAATGAGATTCAACAACACAACTTCTATGCAACATAACTTTGTTCACCTATCAAATGTTGTGGAGATGATTATAAGACTTATTCTTCCTTCTAATAAATCTCTGTCTCGTTCTGAACATACCTGAAATTCAAAAATGCAGTGAGGGCGCGGGAAGTGAGGGCAATAAGTAGTTCTTCCTTGCATGTTTTAAACAGAGGTAAGTCTGATATTTCAATAAGTGTTGTGTAGAATTATGGTCAGAGCATCTGTCTGGAAATCTATAGATCGCAAGATCGATCCCCGGTAGGAAGGGATATTATTTTATTGTATATTCAAAATACGATTTTTTTCTACTCTGTATAGATTCCTTTTTCATCTATCTGAGTAAAAAAGGCGAATCTACGTTCATTATTATGTATTCATGGCGATGAAATACCAAACTTGCGCCTGATATGGACGTTCCTGGAAGGTTCTATCTTGTAACATCAAACGTCTCCAGTACGTCCTATGGACGTCTCTCCGTCGACACTGGACGTCTTGTACGTCCCAGATGTACGTCCTCTGGACGTACACAGGATGTCTTCGTGTTATCTGATGGGTATATTCGTATGAGACGATACTCCGTCCACCACATAAAACGAGCTATCAGAAAAAATTAAGGCATATTTGAGGTGATGATAGTTTGTGGAGGAGTCACTGATGCCACACATCAAATGCTTTCGACTGACGCCACAGCTAGAGATCTCCCATGTTTTTCTAATGAACCTTGCCATATTACATGGGTTATGTAGGCGAGTAAATTCTCAGTTGATCTCTGATGGCGAAAGGTATATTGTCCATCATTTATAATTTCGGAGCTTTCCAAATACATGCATATTGATGTATGTTGATGGCTTTCTCCATCGCTTTGAAAATCACTGATAACAGTGCGATTGGCATAGTTGCTGGGCAGGTTTATTTTATTATACAGGGTGTTTCTTGATATGTGGGACGCACTTCGAGAGGTGATAGAACGTCTTAAGAAAATAAGTCGTCGTAGAAGGCTTCGTTTGCTAGACACTGGGTGTTGAAGTTGAAAATATTTATATTTTTTTATTTCCATCCTACTGTATGGCTTATCGTGGTTTCGAAATTCAGTCTGTCATGTGACTGGCATAGTGCCACAATTACAGACTGATATATATCATGGTTATACGTAATCCGAACAAATGTCTTGAATGGACTATCCGACATCCTCGGACATCTCGATACATCTCATTCTGGAGTTGAATTCGGTTATTCGTTTTTTCCCGAAAACAGTTTATCTTCACGAGTTTCAACTCTTAGGGCTTCGTTCTACAAAATTGCATCCCCTTTCATATTTTCGAATGAAATTTCAAAAGGTTTCATCGCCACCCATGTGTTTTCTGAAAAATCACACATTGGGATTCAGATTGACTAATTCATGCTATACCCATTCAATCACTCTCCGGTACTGAGAAATGCACCAGAATATCAAGAATTTTAGTTTAGCGGTTATCAAGAAATTCAATGAAAATGATTTTTTTATTTTCAACTTTATCTCTCAGGCGGAGTCTTCAACGACTTTTGTTCATGAAAAGTTTTTCATTTTCTTGAGACGCCTTATCACCTCTCAAAATGCGTGCCACATATTACGAAACAGCCTGTATACAGGAATTCAAATTCAAAATCAGTATATTATGTAGCAAGTGTTATAAACTTCATTTTAGGAACGAGTATTTTAAGCACGGCAGCAGAGCGGAGCGATTGTTTAATAAAGGTATGTGTCTAGTAGAGTTTATAAACGCGTTTCCTAAACAATAAGATTAACCTATACCTGCTAACCTATGAAGTAATTTGTAGGGAATGAGAATTGAGAACATAATACATAGAATACTATGCAACGGCATGCAACCAACGAGACACGTATGAGTTATATTGGTTGTAGATGAGTAGATGTGCGTCCAGTCCAGTCCATAGGATACATGAATTTTCATTGAAATGGCTTGTTTACTGACTTTCGTGAATAAGATTTCATCTGACGTAGTAGATAAAAACTATTCGATTTGCTAAGTTGTCAATAAAGTTTTCGATGTATCAGGTTTGTGTATCATATTTATTGTCATGCTTGATGGCATTGAATGATTTGCCCGAAGAGATGAGAGCTTAATTTTCACACAGATT